CAGCGAGCGCCGCCAGAGTCTGAGAAATGCAAACACTGTGATGAGATGTCCACAGAGACCCCCTTAAAATGGATAGATACCATTTGCGTTGCTCTACATACACACACATACACTAACACAGTCGTCTGCTGATCATGGCTGCAATCCACTAACTAACTACTAGCTCGGACTGCTTGCTGACTAGTATGCGTAACTACTTGGCGGAAAATCGACTTTAAGGCTGAAGAGATTTCGAATTTAGCTCAACTTCAGTTTAGGCACTTTCTGCTGATAAAAATAACAGTTACTGTACAGCAAAGGCTAGAGATAAAGAAACCTTAAGGTACTCAAAAACATTTGTGAAGAGACCTATAGAGTTTTATAGAGCTGAACCAAACTGTCAAGAAAAAGCCCTTTATTGGAATAGCTAAACTATTTTGTTATCTTTGTTATAGGCTTAGTGACTTTCAAACTGTTGTGACACATTCAAACAGTGACGTTATATTATGGTTATTACATTTGTATATTTTCTGTTAAGTTTAAGTAAAGTTTTAGAAAGCGATTGATTCTCAGAATCATATTGGAGAAAGGTGTTCAAAAATATCATTTGAATAATAAGAAAATTGTGTATGTAAAGCTATATAAATACCATACCTCTAGAATCTCTCTGTCAGTCTCTCTCACCATCTGCCTCCCTTTCTATCTCTTTATCTGCTTATCTGTTTATATCTTTATCTAACTATTTATCTATCCATTAATCTCTTCCTCTCTGTTTCTCTCCCTTTCTCTCTCTCTCTATCCCTCTCCATCAACCTCTCTCTTTCTGTCGCTTCCTCTCTATCTCTCTCTCGCTCTCCCACTCTCTTTTTCGAATAGATGCAGAGACAGAGAGAATTACAATATGCTAAACCAATATCCCCTTTTCAATTTATAAACATACAAATCTAATATAAATTACTGTCAGAAACACAGACTACTAAAAGTCAATTGATTTATAAAATGCAATAAAAATCACCGAATACAATATTGAAAATTGAATTAAGATACGGAGATCCACCTCATATGGCAGAGCTGATGCTTTGTAAACATTTTTAATGATTTGTTTGGGCCGTAAAGAAAAAGCCAACTACGGCAAATGAGTATATCAATCGGCGCACAACGATTGTATATTTATGTGAAACAATAAAATAATCCAGATACAGCAACGGTCACAATTGTAGATACCGAATGCCCGAATGGCCAGCACATTGCGGCATTCTTAATTTCCTGTTTGGCTAATTATTGCGCATACGCCGTGTAATACTACAGATGCGAATATTTAAAATGCGAAACAGTTAGGGCAATAAACAAATGGGAAATCAATAAACAAATGAGCAGAGGAAGAGGAGAAAAAACAACTGAGGCTCAAAGTTGGCCACAAGTAATTGCTATGCTGTCGCAAATGCTGCTCATTAGCTACGAGAAGAAAGAGTGTAGAGAGGGTACGGGGAGAGGGGGGAGGGGAGCCCTCCACTCCAAAGTACTCGTGGATCGTGGTCAGTCGTTAAGAGGCAGCACCGAGGCTCGGATAATGATGGGAAAATGTTTTGTTTGAAGGCGCCTGATAAGAAGAGGTCGAAGAGGAAGCGCAACTAATGGCCTTCAAGCGAAACGAAATTATTTCGGTAAACAGCAACAAAATGTTCAGCATCGGTTTTTATAGCTCGTTAAACGGCGACGAAAACAAACGCGTTTCAAATTAATTTACAAAATAGAAGAAAAATAAAAGAATCAAATAAATACAATTTATCCAACTACTAAATGAAATTTTCCAGTTTTCAAGTGTTTTTCTTTTGTCTGCCAGAGAAAGCGAGCGAGAAAGAGATGCAAAGAAAGAGGCAGAGTGTAAACAAAGATGACTTTTAGTTTTAGTTGTTTTGCTTTTTTGCTTCGGTAGAGACCACACGCAAAGCTAAGCACCTGAGCCACACCTGGAATCAAATTTGACCCGAAACACCATTTGCATAATTGATCAACTCTTTTGCGTTTATTCCAATTTGAACTTTTTGCTGTCTACTTGGAATGTTCATCGATTTTCGATTAAGTCTAATTTGCAGTCAGTCAGACTTTGCCCAGCTCCATTGGAATTCAATAAATTTCTTTTGCAATTCCATCAATATGCAGCACTTCGTTTGTTTACTTCATCAGCTTTATCTGTGTACATCTTTTCCTTATTCGTTCCGCTTCTAGAGTTGGGTCACATTTGCAACCGGACATCAGCTGCTGGCGGATCATTAATCTGGCAGTGAATCGTTTGCGAATGTTCTGCTTAAGCTAACAGCAATTTGCATAAGATTTATCTATGCCATCATCATAAGTCAGCTCTAATTGTATGAGTCTTAACAGGCATGATTGAATATCACTTGAGACAGTAGATGGAATATGAAGTACGAAACAAAATTTAAATTTGATTGATATTAATTGTTTTCATACATTTGACATGTTAAATGAAGTAAACAATAAAGAAAAGAACAGATATTCAATTGTTAGCAACATATCCATAGAATTTTTATATCAATTTATTGACCAGAAAATATTATATTTAATAAGTAATGGATTTTTGTGTATAATACAAGATATTTCATTCAAAGTTATTTAAGAAATATAGATTTATGTCAAATCAAATTTATTCAGTTTAGCGTGACTTATAATGTGTGTAATTTACATTACATTTTTACGTTTTTATATTTTTATCTGAGTTGAACAGAAATTTTAAAACCAAATTTAAGACAAATTTTAATGAAAGTCCAGGTATATGTATATATTTTTATTCAACATGTAAAATCTCACTAAATATTTTGTTTCGTACATATGGAATTTTTCACAAAGCTAAAAAGGTTGTTAAAAAATACTACACTGTACACTACACTACACACTACACCATCCATAGAAAGTTTATAAAAAAAAAATCTTGGAATAAACTTAAATCCAAGGCAAAGGCTTTAAGCACAAATCTCAGCTGGATTTGTGGCTCTAGTCTCATAACTTAGGGTCCTTCATTACACTTTATTGCATTTGTTTTTCAATAAAAATTCACAAGACTTGAGCAACTTGAGAGGAATGGGGAGGTGTTAAAATAATAGAGGGAAAACTACGTCTTATCGGGCAAGTGGTCGCACGCCCCCAAAGTGCTAGCTGCGTGGTGATATAATCTGCATTAATGCTTCGCTTTGGGTTTCATTTCATTTTGCTTTTTTCTCTTTTTGTGAGTTTTTTTTTATTTTTTATTTGGGACACAAATATTGATTTGCCGTGGCTCTTGGTAAATGTAACTTAAGCGATAACACGACGATAAGTTGAAACTATTCATGCAAGCCCAAAACTGAAATCGGGCACTCAATGTGCACATATGTTACATATATTTATATATGTGTGTATTCATATGTATTTATCATCCAAATAGGTTTTTTTTTTTTGGAGCCAAGTGCATTTAACGATATGATAAAAGTGCGGAGTACATAAAAGATGGGGCAATGTGGCTATGAAGTTGACCCAAATAAAATGCGAGCACAGCTGCCATAGCATTCACGATATAGCATGGATATCTAGTTTGTATGCGTATATACATATATATGTATATATGTATATACATCTAGAATTATGCTGACAGCATTCAATTAATTGGCAAACATTCTATCAATTGTGTTCATTCTTAATTAAAATTAATTATGTACTCCAAGTGCTGGCACATAAAACTAAATTAATAATAATATGATATGCTCTGAGAGCGATGCCTGCTGTTACAAATACAATTGCCCTATATACAAGCCAACTAGCCAACATTAAGAGCCAAGTAAAGTAATTAATAAACAAAGGCACAATGTTAATGCTCTCTGAGTGCTTTGCAGGAGACAAGGCAAAGCAAGGCAAGGCAAGGCACGGCAGGGCATGACAAGAAAAATGACAAGTAAAATGACATTAAAGTGCAGATATATGAGATGAAATAAACATTCTTACGGAAAAGCTCGAAGAAAACTTCATTAAAATGCCAGACATTACAATTGAGGCTTTAACTAATCGTATCTCATGGCACATAAAAAAAATTTATTTATTTTACCTTGAAAATTCCACAGAATAATTCCGATTAATTTCATGTTTTTATATTTATTTATTTATCTTTCGACACGCAACATTTGCCGCATGCCCAAAATTTCCATCTCATTTAAAAACATGCAAAAATACTTTTACAAATATTCAGATTTTTTGTATGTACAATATACATAATCCAATCATAATCCTACCTCCCGGACTACTTCATCAAATATGTATATGTAAGGGAAATGCGTTGTTTCCTAAATAAGGGCTTAAAAACAAATAAAAAGTGAGCTTAGCTTTACGTTTGAATGAAACGAAAGGCGTAATGTTCTACTGATTACGTAAAAGCGTAACACACACACACAAACGATAGTCATTTGGTTTTTACGCATTCAAGGGCAACAGCCAACCAAGGGCACTCAAAGAAGAAGTGACGTCTTCAAATGCTGGCATTACACAACACTGGTTTCGTTTTGAGTTGAGGTTGGCAAGACTCACCGTTAAAATTGTTAGTTGGCAGCACCTCTTGGGAGACACTACGCTTGCAGATATGTTATTTTTCCTTGGCTGACAACCTAGCAGGCCTCTGACAATTATCGTTATAATTGTGTAAGTATTCAGAAATCAAAAAGAATAGATCAGAGCGCAGCCAACTTTCGACGTAAATGCTGCTAACAAATTTTCCGTTCTATTAAGCAAAATCGTCGTAACTTTTATGTTGTATTTCCCAATTCACACGACGCGTAAAACTCGTGAACGTAACGAACTTTATGAAATAGCAGAGGCCAAATAAGACGAGAACCTTGCGCCGCGAACTCAGCTGACTGAATGAAAACGGACGCAGCGCTCGAGCAGTCGACAGCAGCCTTAACGTAAAAAGCAGCAAAAGCAGCGAAGAGAGTGAGAGCAAATACACCAACATCAACATCAACAGCGACGGCAACAGCGACAGCGACAGAAGCAGAAAAAAACATCAATAGCAATAGCAAAAGCAAAAGCAAAAGCAAACGCAAAAGCAGCGCAGCTTTGCGCTCAGCATAGAAATAGTGGGAGGCAGAGCAACAAGCACAAACCGTTACTCAAGAGAGTCGTCAAGCAGGTGAGCGTAAAGTTGTGTTGTCACTATTTGTTGTTGCTGCCACTGCTGCCCACGCGCTGCGCTTGGTTGCAGCGTGCATACATGTACAAACATACATACATAAGTACATATATGCATTGCCGTGTACGTCGCAGAGTGCACTAGAAAAATTTATAAATTGATGCATATCACTTGATATAAATTTAGAGCAATTTTTCATTCACTTTTCCCACGCTGCTACTGCAGCTGCAAGGCACACACACGCGCTCTCTCTTTGGCAATCTCTCTCTCGCTTACGCTCCGTGTGCGCTTCATGTAAATGTGAAATAAGGAAAATTTGGAAAGAAGGAGCATAAAAGCTAACGCCAACTGACGACGTTGACGCAGCTGCTGCTGCGCTGCTTATGTAACTTGACGTTGTCTCAGTCTCGCAGTCTCAGGCAGTGAAGGGCAGTCAGCGACCTCGTTCTAGAAAAAAGGCAACCCACAGCAGCAGCAGAAGCAGCGGCAGCAACAGCAGCAGCGCACAGGAACAACAAACAGAAAATAAACATTCAGCAACATACACAATGAAAATGTAGGGTTTTATTCTATGCAGCCACACATAGCCCATAACATTGAATGTAACAGTGGGTAGGTGGTTTGGGCGCATATTTTTGTTCTTCTCTTTTTGGGCGACATCAAAGCCAAAACGAAATTGCGCAACAGCAACAAAACTTCGAAATAGCCACGTGAGCAATGTGAATGCTATATTGTTTTTTCTCTAATTTGCTTTTGCTTTTCCTTCTTCCTTCTTTGTCCTCTTGACCCAGCGACCCACATGATTTTTATAGACTGCTGCTGCAGTGCATCGCAGTAAACAATTATGCTACTCTCTCAGCCATCGCTCTTCGCTAAACCTTTTTTCCACATAAATTGCTAGCTGAAGTGTAATTCAATTCCAGGCGTCATTTATTTATAGTAGCCGTCGGTCAGGAGCCAACTGCAGGTTACAGCAGCAGCAGCTGTCTGTGGAAAATTTATGGCCAACCCACAAATTGGGTTAGGTCAGCAGCACGGAGAGAATAAAACACCTGATGCAAAGCCCTCTTCTAAACAGCATACAGCACAAGCTCAACGTACTTTGAGTTACCGTTATCTTCAGGCTAATGCACAGCCATGACAGCGGAACAAGTGACCAGAGCACTTACAGTTATTTTCAGGCTTTTACTGCTGCGGTGTCTGTCTCCCTTTCCGGCGTGCTTCCCGTTATGTTTTTGTGCTTTTGTGTTTGGCGGCATCTGGTTTTGCCTAAGCCACAAGAAACATGCGTAAAATGCGTTTTAATTGAAGGGAGATGTTCAAAGCACATGTTCGTTGCCCAAGGAGGGCGAATAGCCGAGTCTAATTGAATTATGTACATGCATATGCATATACATACATACGTATGAATGTGTGTTTTACTTTGTTTATAGCCCGTCATTTACCAATACTATTCGAAACTGAAGCAAAATTCGTGCGCTCTGCTTTTTCATGCATTTCGTTTTAGCCGTTTTTCAATCGTATGACCCAGTTCTATGCTATTGCTATCTCTGTCACTTGCACTCACTTGCAGCTGAGAGTGTCAAAAATGTAAGAGCAGCGAAAAGGAAATAAAAAAAGAGAGTGAGCAGTTGTCATCATCGATGCATATTTAAATTAATTTAAGTGGACGCACACATACATATGCACACAGCTGTTTATTGGGCAGCACTTAAATTGTCAGCTATAAATAGAATAGAAACATGCAAAAATTGGAAAAAATAATGCATATGTATACATAAATATATACATACGTATGTGTCGTATATATTTCTGAATTGCTAGTTATGACGACGAATTCTATTTTTTGCATGCGGGTTAGCGGTTAAGACTGCAGTTAGCCACGTTTTTCACATTTACTATGCACGCACGTAACGACCCACATTCACACCCACTCGGAGTCAGGCAATTAACTTGGCAGACTGCGTGGCTCACGTTGACGTCGTGACATAACTTAAGCATGAAAAAAAAAAAAAAAAAACATCAATCCAACCAACCATCCTTTGCCTACCCATTCCCTCCCATTCGCATGTCACGAATGTCCTTGAGGCGTGAGCTGAAGGCCACGTGAGGCTTTGTTTTCGTTCAGCCATTAGAAATAAGCTTCAAAAAGTAAACTATGTATTTTTTCCTCTTTTCGTTTTTTTAGAAAAACCATATTCCAACATGGGTGCCGATGCGGAGAATGGCAAAAAGATTTTCGTTCAGAAATGCGCACAATGCCACTCCTACGAAGTGGGAGGAAAGCACAAGCAGGGTCCTAATCTTGGCGGAATTGTTGGCCGCAAATGCGGTTCTGCCCCTGGCTACAAATATACTGAAGCTAACATCAAAAAGGGTATCGCTTGGACAGAAGGCAATCTGGACGAGTATCTGAAGGATCCAAAGAAATTTATTCCCGGCACCAAGATGGTTTTCCCCGGACTCAAAAAGGCCGAGGATCGCGCTGATTTGATTGCATTTCTCAAAACAAACAAATAGTTTGAATACCTCAACAAAAATATGAAAAAAGTATATGATTGGGAAAAAACTTTCATAAATATTTACTAAGACACTTTTAGAATAGATTATAATTAAAATTGAGCTCACAACATAATATTGGTTCTTTAATATACATATGTATACATATGATTTAGTTTAATATTTCATTATAAGACACATTTGTATTTAAACGTACCGCCATATTTTATTTCAATCAGCTTTTGTCAGGCTCAGCAATCATTTCAAAATTTGGTTGCGCGTGCCAAAGCGCGGAATCACAGTTATGATATTGCAATCAATTTGCATCTTTAATAATTTAACTAAAATACATTTAGTGAATCTTGTTATACCAGCAAACTTTCTTTTACCTACTTTGGCTAAAAATAAAAGTTGAAAGCTGAAAATATTTTAAGATATGACCGCGCGATGAACTGTTTTGAAGAAACCATATCATTTAGCATTTGCAAGCCTAACAATATAAACACAATTATAATAGAAACATCCACAAGTCTTTTATAGCCGAATCAGATATTTCAATCTATTAAATACCCATGAATTAAATCAACAATAGTGATTCAGAGATTAAAAAATAGCTTTAAACTCACGCTAAATTTGATTCAATATCGTACTTTTTAAATAAATCTATCGATGTTTCAATATATTAATAATATCGATACTCACCTAAAACACTCATTTGTGCCAATTGGGATCTTTTGTCTCATTCGTAAGCTAACTGTTCGCAGCAAAAGACGGTTTGTGTTCAATGTAAGTAGCGGGAGTTTGTGAATGACGTAAATATATTAATTTACAAAACCCTGAGTAGTTATTGATTACGTTTAAAGTGTACAGAGAATTCAGTGATAAATAATTGCATTTAAAATTCTTACATAACGTACGATCGAACAGATGCTCAGAGTTTAGCTGTATATCCCACGCGAATTTCAATTTTTGGGGGTTGTTTGCGTTACATAAACGTGTGATAGCCTTCAAGGGTGTTTGTGTATGTGTGTGTGCTGAATAATATATATGTATGCAAAAGTCCAAAAGTAACAACTATTAACCATGTAACATATGATGGCAGCTTTTACACATAAAGAACAATATGTGCTAACAAAGAGTCACATTGACATTACAAATATCGCGAATCGATTACATGAGCAAAAATTAAGAGCTGAAAAGGCCACACGATCATTTGCTATCTCGCTCATACGATTTTTGCTTTGAAGTGGCTTCCATTTCCCAGAATTTTAACCCGCCCGCCACGTGGTTGCTAAGCAAGTGCGATTTCATTGCCCATTGGCTCTTCTTCTCTGCTAAAAAATCGCAGGTTGCTTATGTAAGCGACTCTACTCTTGCAAGAATACTAACCCAATTTCGCTTTTACCTGCTCTCACGCATCCTCACATTCACACACATTGAGCGAAGCATCAGCAATTGGCCTGCTTCCAATGCAGTTCCGATAGAAAAAGTGGTTTTATCTGAGCAAGGCCACAGCTAGGCGACATTGTAGTCTCATGTAATCATTCGCTATCTAAAAAAAAGGTGCACGCGTATGTGTATGTGCGTGTGTTTGTTTGTGTGTGTGCCTGCTCGTGTAGGTGACTTACTAATTGCAATGCTGCTTATGTCTCGCATGCAACAATTCGTTCAAGTTCGCATAACTGCATGCAGTGCAATTAGTCACCCGATAAGCCGTTAGATGGCAATATGCTGACCGCGACACAGACCTTGAAACTGTATTGCTGGGAATGTGGGGCATTATTGGAGTTTGGCCTGTTGCTGTGCGGCAGCGAAATCTGACGCAATTAAAGTTTTTGTTGTGATGCACAGAGATGGCAGCACTGCTTCTTTTATTTATTAGCCAAGTTTAGCTTTTTTAAGGCTGAAAACTTTAAGTATCAATTGTCACACATAGTTAGTAGATACAAAAAATTAGCAGATAAATTTAAGCTTATTTTTAGCTAAAATTAATTATTAAATAATCTTTATTAGAAACCTGTTCAAGTTTCTTGACAATTAAATAATATTGAGCTTGCGACGATGTAGCTTTTTCGCCTTGAAGCTAGCTTTGTTAGCTAAAAGCGAGCAGCACTGCGACGGCAACATGTGACCAGATCGTGTGTAGGTGTATGAGTGCGTGTCTGTGTGTCTGGTGACGTTGCTCGTCATCTGGCTCGTTAAGAACGTTGAATGAACTTTGGGCGGGTGTGTTTGAGGTGCAGACTATTAGATAATCTAACGGTTGCATTACTAATAGCTGGCATGTGTTGTTATCAGTAGCCCGATTAATGCGTCGGATGTTGATAAAAATGAATTTGGCAACGGTAAATAAATTTGTTGTTTATATAACATTTCTAATTGTTCGTTTTCCTCTATCTATCTCTTTTCCCCGCAGTCGAGTCGGTGTTAACACATCAAATATTAATTAACTATAATGGGTGTACCTGCTGGTGATGTTGAGAAAGGCAAGAAGCTGTTCGTGCAGCGTTGCGCACAGTGCCACACCGTCGAGGCCGGTGGCAAGCACAAGGTTGGCCCCAATCTGCACGGTCTGATCGGCCGCAAGACCGGCCAGGCTCCCGGCTTTGCCTACACAGATGCCAACAAGGCTAAGGGCATCACCTGGAACGAGGACACGCTCTTCGAATACCTGGAGAACCCCAAGAAATACATCCCCGGCACCAAGATGATCTTCGCCGGCCTGAAGAAGCCCAATGAGCGCGGTGATCTGATTGCCTATCTGAAGGCGGCTACTAAGTAAGGAGGAACTACTGGCATCTACCCACATCCGAATCTAGCACCACCTCTTAGCTACACGTAAACTCTGTATTACGAGCTATACTATCATCATGGAAGCGTGGCAGTAGCGCCTCCGAGGCTCATCTTGACGACGGCTTGTATTTTGGGTCACAATTATAACAAAGCAGAATACTGAACTTAAAACAAAAATACAATTATGTTAACTTTAAAGTTTAAATAGGACAATTACATTATTTAATTTATAAAGTGGATATTACTAATTTAAAGCCGATTAAATTGTGACACCCACGAGAAATATAACAACAAATTAAATAAAAACAAAACAATAAAACCGAAAATAAACTTGTATTTTCTTTATAGTGCTGTTGGTAAAGTTTAGGAAAAACTATCTATTAGTATAAAAGCTTATCATTACAAAAGCTTAACGAGAGAGGAAGGCAGAGAGCTTTTAAAGCTCACAACGTATTGAATAACTTCTAGCGCTCCAGACCTGTTAGAGATTACAAAATAAATATGATTTTCAATTACATTTATTTATATATATTATTGGTTTTTTTTTTTTTTTTTACATTCAAAAATTTATCATACAATTTAATAACAATTTAATGCATTATTTTTATGTGAATTTTGTAAACATTTTTATTATTCACACGCTTAATAACATTTCAAAATATTGCATTTATTTATTAGATTTTTTCCATACATAATTTTTGTTTTAAAGAAAAGAAATACTTAATAGGTTGGTTGTACATGTGCGCCGATGCGTTAATATATAATACAATTTACTATTTAGACTTGGTTGAAGAAATCGTGAGAAAAACTCTGTACAGCACAGCGCAAAGTAGAATATTTAAAACGATTGTAACGAACATAAACAAAACAGACAAAAACAAATTATAAGATTTACTCGTTGTGAGTGAGTGTGTGTGTGTGTGTATGTGTATATTTTTTGTTTGCAGTTTGTCTAATTAACTTTCACTCTCATCTACGTATCTCTATAGTGGTTCGGAATGCCAACAAAAGAGCAACAATTAATTAGTTTTAACGAACGCTGGCACCATCTGGAATCGTCAATAGATTCGCTATGGAACTTAGTTTATAGATTAGGACAAAGAAATATGCGCTTAAATGGTAGCAAGAAATAAAACGATATTTTGTTAATGGGCGTGGGAGTTGGCGGTGGAAGACACACGTCCCCAACTCTTATTGTTAGTTAAGTTGTCGAAAACAAGCAGGCGACCCACTTTGCTATCAGTTGTACATGGTATCGGTCCTTTAGGCCTTGCCAGCAATGGGAGCTGCGCCTTGTTTTTGGTTCTCGTTCTCCTTCTCCAGCTGCTTGCCCAAGTATTCCCTAGGGGAAACACGAATAAAAGAAACACATCAACAATTTGGAATTTGGCTATGCTAATTTTGAATAGAGAGTGCTCTTGAAATTATTCGGTAATGGTTTGAGTTTCGGGCGTATAAATGCGAGTATGATTATCGAGCGGCACCTGAGTGCGATAGGTGTGCATATGATTAGATAAGACTATCCACATTTATCATACTAACCAGTTGTGTACCATCAGTTTTTGGACAGCCAGCAGAGCCTCGTAGCGCACATTGGGATCCTCGTGACCCAGATGCTGCATAACAATCTGTTTGCCACCCAACTGCTCCAGCACACTGTGAAGCAAAGGCATATTAGATAGGAGCCAGGCAGACAGGTCCCAGATCTTATTCACTTACTGCTTGCCACGTGGATAATGACGCACATACTCTCCAATATCGAAACAGGCAACGGACAGAATAATGGCATCCTTCGAGGTCTCCAGCAGATGAACCAATATGCGCAGTAGTTCGTAGTTCTTTTCGTTGAGGCGTTGAGCGTTCTCGCGCCAGAACTTGGCCGATTTGTGGACGGGCGACCATTCGAGGCGGCCGCTGCGCACCTCGGTGGCATACTCGTCGAAAGAGCTCAGGTCCTGCACGGAATTCTGCAGCTTCTCGCTCAGATACTCCACATCGGCTGTAATGTCCTCGTCATCGAAGCGACGCTGCTCCAAAATCGACAGCTGCTTCAACACCTTGCACTGCACCATGGCAATACAATGATCCTTGGCCACGGACGCATCCTCGGGCTTCTCAATCAGATTGCGGAAGACGGCCAAAATGATGCGAGTGACCTTCTCCTTGGCACAGTCGCTCAAGATATCAGCCAATATGGGTATGACGCTGAACTTGTTCATCTTGGCAGCCAACAGGGGATTGAAGGTCAGCACCCACAGGCAGAAGATCAACTGGTATTGCACCTATGAATAAGAAATCGAATTTAAATTGTACCAAACAATTTACACATTTCAATTTCAAACTCACCTGGAAGTTGACACGCGTCGACAGGATGCGTATCAAGGTGCTGATGCCATCGACGTTGACGAACGCGAAGCGA